GTCCCTCTCCCCGACCCATCTTCACCACCGTGGGAGGTATTCAAGCACATTGCGTATTTGGTTCTGTACATGAGAATTGATATAGTTACTAAGTGCAAAAAAGTTGATACAATCTTAATATGTCGGCTATCTTGCCATTAGAGATGAAGTGTTCTGCCATTTCACACACAGTGTGCTTGGACCTGTCCCTAAAAGGTTCTATCTTCACACAGTCGAGGACGTAGTGTTCAAGTGTGTGGCCATATGTATGGCCACACACTTTACATCTGCTTGAGGAACATACTGCCAAAGGTACTTATATCCTAACCTTAATCTAGCGGTTACAACATCTTGTAATCTAGTGATCTTGTTACTTGCTCCATATACATGTTTCACTTGATACATCTCATCATGGTAACCTATGGATCGACTAATGCCTGTTTGCACTTGTCTACTTGCGTCAAACTCATCAATAAGTTCTTTCCTAATTACAGTTTTAAGGGTTCTTTTTGACAGACCCAAATTGTATTCAACGGTGTCTTTGTTAGACGCAAGTTTGGCGAGGGCATCAACTCTGTCATGTTTTATGAGGCCTATGTGAGAGGGGATCCACAACAGTTTGACCCTGACACCCCAGTCAACAAGGCACGCATATTTGTGTCTGGCTTCAGAGACAAGAGCGTGACAACCTGAGTCGAGGGTACCAAGGGCAAGTAGTGAGGATAGAGAGTCAGTGATGATGAGACTGTCAGTAACAGTGGTTTCAATGAATTTAATAGCTGTGAGTATGGCAACTAATTCAGTTTGTAGAGTGGATGCCCAGTTGTTAATTCTAACTCCTTTCTCAATTATATTACCGTTAGGTTGAGTCACAACAATAGCACTTCCAGCCCTCCCACAGGCGGTGTGAATAACAAAGTGTTAGGCCAGACATACTGCCTCACACGCCTGTTCTCACGCATTTGTGAATAAGTTACCCTTTATGTATAGAACTAAACAAATAATGTAAATGAAATACTGTGTAACTTTCAGTGCCATAATATCCTGACAACGGGGGTTAATTATTATGACCCTTTGTAAACCCTACTCTGTAATCCTTTTGCGCTACCGCTCACAGGATGAGTGTGGGGTGCACAATAAAGTAGCCGCTGCAAGCGGCAAAATCAAAATCAAAATCAATCGTCACCACCGGGATATCTACATAATCAAAAGTGGCAATTTCGTTTTAGAAAGAAGTGGGATCAGTGTTGAACAGTGATGAACAATGTTTAAGCCAGTGAACTCAGCACTACACAGTAACAGTGAGAGCTATGACCCACCAGTGAGATAAGTACCCCTGGGAACCATCCTCTGACCAGACCAGACGGTGTTACTCCGTCCACCCTGGGAACAACATCAGACCGGTTTTACACCTGGCTATGAGATAACACCACCCCACATAGTGTCTCATGACCACGTGAGGTCCTTCATATGAACACCCGAGGACAAGTCACTACACCACGTGAACACAACACCACCAAATGGCTTCACGACCGCTTGAGGTCCATATCAACACCCTAGGAGGAGTTACTATTCCACGTGAACACACCACCTGGTGTCTCAATGACCAGCCCAGGCCCCCAGACCATTAACTGTAAACTGTAATAATTTGTATATTCAATCATTGTTCCTTCTTCTTTGAGTAATGAAAGCTTTTGTTAAACGACCCACCCACCCTATGTCTTTGTATGTAATAAGTCATTTTTGTCCAATGAATATTTTCAGCCTTCGGACTGCAAAACTTTTTCAATAAACCGTTTATTATTATCTCACACACGCACGCACGCTCGCACGTGCACACACACACACACACACACACACACACACACAGAGTAAACGCCTAGAAAAAGTGCAAAAAATGGCACGCAAGATTATTCTCTCCCCTTCCTACTACACATATCAAGAAGCACTCAACACACTGACCCTCTCGGCTCTCACTGACCATCACTACGACTTCCTCTGCAAATTTGGTGAGAAGCTTGTGCACCATTCTCGACACCGGCTCCTACTTCCACCCGAGATCCCTCGTCCGAGAATTGTTGTTTGACACCACAACCGCATCCAGCCCATACGAGCACGAACTGATCGCTATAAGAACAGCCAGTCCCATCCATTGTGAAAATTATCAATAACTTGTAATCAACCAGTGTATTCACTCCCAGTAAATCTTACTTTTTGCACTGTCACTATGTTGAAATGCCCTGTAGTTTGAACTTCTCCCCACCTAATTATTATACAGTGGTCCTTCGATTAACGAACTGTCCAATTAACGAAATTTCGGTTAACGAATTAGCTCCCATAAGGATTTTCAATTCCATTAACGAACGAAACTTCGATTAACGAAAGCCTTACGCTTTGTTGTGCGCATCAGCTGATCGGCTAGTCCGCCAATACAGTAATTGGTTCTATGTTTACATTCGTTTCCAGTGGAGTAAATATCAAGAAAGTTGTGCTCTTGAATATTTTTGCATTTTTTATATTAAAAGTATTGGTCATTCTAATTTAGTTACCATATTGATAATTTATACAGTACAGGGAACAGTTTTTGTGCGCCCATCAGCTGATCGAATCACCCACCAAAACTTCTCAGTTTAACTTTGTTTACAGTGGAGTGAACATCGAGTTTGTTGGTCTCTTGAATATTTTTGCATTTTTACTTTAAAATTATTGGTCATTCTGAAATTTAGTTCACATATTGATAATATACAGTGCTAAAATTATTCTGAACCATGAAGAAGGCATTAGAATCAATGCACTCTGTAAAGAATATGTCATGTCATCATCGACTGCCTCTTCAATCAGCTGTTTGATATGTTAACAAAGCTGCCAGGAATACGACATACACACCTCAAAGTAAGTTAAAATATAGTACAGGTACTCCCTGACTTACGACAGGGTTAGGGACCGACATCCAGGTCGTAAGTCGAAATGGTCGTAAGTCGGAAATGCTTAAATAACACATAGAAAATAAAAAAATTGGGTCTCTTTTTCTTTTCAGCACCACAAAACACTCACTTTTAAGCTTGCCAGCCATTTTAAAGTGAATTACAGATGAAAATTTTGTCTGTGTACTGACTTTGGGACTGAAAAATATATAATTTGACCACATTTTGGTACGACTGGTGTGGGTGGATGTAAGTCGAGTCGGTCGTAAGTCGGGGACTACCTGTATTCTATTGTTTTTTATTTATTATTGTACATTATACTGTACAGTACAGTACTGTATTTAGTTTATATTTAATGATTATTTAATTCTATTACTGTACTGGTATACAGCACTTTGTATGTACTTTTTCTGTGAGTTAAAACCAATTACCCAATATCCCATTGAATTAATAGATTCGGTTAACAAAATTTTCGGTTAACGAACGACTCTGTGGAACCAATTGTGTTCGTTAATTGAGGGACCACTGTGTATCATATTTGTATCACTTATGTTACTTGTATATCATTTTTAAATAAATAGACCTATTCCCCAATTATGCAATTGTATATTTTTAGCCTTCTGGCTGCCATGCTCTTTCAGTAAACCATTAATTATTATTATTATTATTTTTATTATTGAATTAAGAAAAAATGACATCCGGTGAGGGTCTTGTTGTGTGACTGCCTGGTGGTGAGATAAACATCAGCTTTTGAGAAGCACTTGGCAACACTGGTGCATGTTACACTCCTTTCCACTCCAACTTTTTAATCACCACACCTTTCTGCTTTCTCCCTCCATATTTTAAAATGTTATGTTACATAATGTTGAAGGGATACAACTTTGCTCATTTATACTTATACTTATCACAATCTCCCTAAAAATACTTTAGGTTTTGTGTTTATTCAAGACATCTTCAGGTCATGAGACCCTCTAATCCCCCATCCATGAAAGGGTGACCTGACATTTCATCCGAAGGTCAGTAATATGATTCCACTAATCCTCCACCCTATCTCCACCTGACATTGAGTCAGGTTAGGTCAGGTCCCCCAAAAATACTTTAGCTTCCATCTTTATTCAAGACATTTTCAGAAAATGCTCTCGATGTTCGACCTCCGAATTTTTTTTCCCAAAGCCGGAAATTTTTGGAAAATTCCGGCTTTGGGAATGAATTTCCGAGCACATTTCAATTCGGGCTATCGGAGATTTCCGGGTTTGAGGGATTCTAGCTAACAGAGATATTACTGTATCTGGAAAGAGTGATCTGGAAATGCGAAAGTGTGTGTGAAACAAGAATTGGAGAATATTATATGAATGTAGGGTGTAAGTCTGGTTTTCTTGGATAGAAAGGAAGTGGACTTGATAATGAGCATATAACTGCTTGCATATAGGAGCACTAGAATGTTAATTATAGAATTCAAATTGAATAAGGTTATCTGGTGTGTGATAATTATCATATATACAGTCCTCTATGTTTGATAGGGAGGATTGGCATTGATAATTTGGGGGGTAAGTTGGGTTAAGAATCTGTTAATATAACAGTAGGAGGAGGCTGATAATGATGGTAGACCTAATTGGTTAAAAGATAATAGAAGGGAAGTTTGAGTGACTGGTGGTTTTGGAGTTATAGCAGAAATTGAGAATGGAAGGAGGGTGCAGTAAACTTCTCAATGATTACAGGCTTCTGTTCCACGACAACACATGGCTGTTTGAGTATGTGACTAGGTCAGTGTACCATACAGGAAATACAGGTCAGGTTCCTAGCTACAGTTTGGTGAAAATAGTTACCTGTATTTAGAAAATTGTAAAATCATATACTTTTCTGGCTGGAGGTAAGAGTGATGTTTGTTGTGTCTTATATTCAAGGGAGCTTTGATGAGGTTTTGGACTACCTTTCACTTTTGTATCGTTTTCTTTCTTCCTTTCCTACCATCGCAGAATAAGTACTAATCCCCTGTGATAACTAACTACTCAACCTAATCTTGTAATTTCGCAATCTGATTAAAAAATGGCATTGGATTTAAGGATGTTTAATATATATATATTTTTTTAATTCTAGGGGGACCTAAAGTTCTTTGTGAATGGAGAGTGCCAAGGTGTAGCTGCTGCCAATCTACCCCAGATGTTATATGCTGTAGTTGATATGTATGGCAAATGTGCACAAGTTACTGTTACCGCACCATCCACACCAGATTCTAGTGAGTTTATCACATACGGTTAGAGTATTTTGAATTGTCATGATTTATTACTATACGTTAATTGCTTTTTGAGTTAATTGTTAAATTTTTCATAGGGTTTTAGGAGGATAAAAGTAGAAATGGAGAAATGGATCACATTGTATGTGCTTTGATGTTGTATTAATAATTTTAGAAAATATATGTGCTATTTATAATTTTCCAGACACACTGGATGAGGACTCCACAAGTGAGATGTCGTCCATGCGGGACTCCAACATCTTGGACTCCCAGCATGATCAAATCCCCTCTGGTCTTACCAGCATCAACAATCACACTTCTGCATCTGCACATGCTGCTGTTGCTAGTATTGCAAATTCAACTATCCCAGCCACAGTTGCCAGCCTCAATGCAGCTGCTGGTCATACATGTAGTGCACTTAACAATCATGTTGCAAACATTAGCATTGCCAACAGTCTTATGTCCAACAGTGACAGTAATGTTTTACATGATGAGAGAGATGGTAGAGAGAGTAGCTGTGAGGCGTCGCATAATCCTTCGCCACGAGTGTCTGACGCAGCTCCCCACCCTCCTGTCACAAGCTGTGGGCCAACTCAGATAGTCCCAGTAAATAATTGTAATAATGATGTAGGAATTGTTCCTTCTGGCTACACATGCGGTGGTGCTGTGGGAGGCAGTGGTGGGAACAATAATAATGGTGCTGGTAATAACAATGGTGGGGGAAACAACAACAGTAACACTAGTGGTGTAAATACAGTTGCCAATCAAGTTGGCAACAGTAATCCTGTCAGTGGTGACAATATGGTAAACTATTCCTCTTTATCTGATAGATTAAGGTTTCATGAAAAGTGTGGAACCCTTGTTAAACTGTCCAACAGTTCCAGAACAGCTGAACGAAGAAGACCTTTAGATGAATTCAACAATGGAGTGGTCATGAGCTGTAGAGCACTTCGAGAAAATGAGCTTTTTGAGGTAAATATTTTTGTTTATTATGCCATTTGTATTTGGATAGTGACTATAACTATTAAAGAGAGTATAAATGATGCAATGAAACTATTCGTGGTTACTATGTATGTGTGTGTGTATATGCATGTGTGCACCTGATGTAGAGTTGAAACTTGGAAGGTTTATCATTTTTGTTTGTACTGTACTTCAAAAATCATTTCCAATATAGCTATACCCACCATAAGATATTAATGAAATACCTTTTTAGATTCGCATTGACCGGTTAGTGGACAAATGGTCTGGCAGCATAGAAGTTGGCATAACTACACACAATCCAGGACTCTTGGACTTCCCTGCTACCATGACCAACATGCGCTCAGGTACCACCATGATGAGTGGCACTGGGATTCTCACAAATGGAAAAGGAACACATCGAGAGTATGGGGAATTTAATCTCGATGAATTAAAGGTGAGAACCAGGTGTGTGTGTGTGTGCGTTCCATTAGCCGGAACAATTGGAATGAGAGATTTTCAGGTAACGAGACAGCTCTCTCAAAGCCGGAAAAAAATCCCTCCTCCTCGGAATCTTCTGGGAAACTGAAAATTTTTCCCAGAATTTTCAAAATTTGCAAATTATATCTCTTTCAAAATTGGAAAAAATCCCTCATCCCCGGAGTTTTCTGAGTAACGGAAAGTTTTTCTCGGAATTTCTGGAAAATGTGCCTGATTTTCGTATCAAACCCGGAAAAAATCTCCCCATCCCTGTAATTTTCTGGAATTTTACGCTTACTGAGAAAATTTTCTTGTTATTTTCCAGAAAATGTGCCCCATATAAAGTGAAACACATAAGTAAAATAACAGAACCTATGGGATTAATTGAAATAGAAACTGGGCCGACTGCCAGACTACCCTTTTTTGGGGGCAATTGCCGACACAATACTGTACATTGTAGTAGAAATAACATCTTAGTTTTATGATGGTATGCACACAATTAATACATGAGAGAAATATCAATAATATTAGGTTTTTTAACACTTACGTTAGTAGAAGAGATGGCTGGGCACACGGGGATGGGGGGTTGGTTCTGAGGCAGAGGGGCAGATTATTGGCCCTCGCCTGTCTCTTTATCCACCACAGAGGCTAGCAGGGCCTCATCGTCAAACCCCTCGAAGTCCACATCCTCACTATCACTGACTTGGGCTGGCTGTGGTGGTTGGCGGGTGAAGAACTCGGTGATGTTTTGTTGACGACTAGCATTGATGTGGTCATGATACAACTGAACATAGGGCTCCAGGGATTTCAACAGATGGTTATTAGACACTTCGTAGCGATGATTGACTGGGTCTTTGGTAAGGATGAGCTTCATTTTCTCAGCTAACTCGATGACATCCTTCACATCAGCATGTGTTAGTTTCTGCTCCATATTGTCTGGTCAGATCCACCTGTCTCGTGCCTTTTTCTAACACCTGGACGATCTTGTACTTTCCTCATAGCTTAAGGCACATCGCACTTTCTTGGGCTTGGGGCAGCTTGGGCCAGGTAGTTCAGGGCTTCTCGGGGGTGGTGGGGGTCCAGCGGAAGCCATTGTCAAGAAAGAAAAAACAAAACCAGTTCCTGGGCACGAGTGAATACCGTATACACGGGGACAGAGAGACTGACCCGGCTGCGTTGGAGAGCGAGGGTGGCAAGGATAACTAGACCAATCACAGCGCGCGGCAAGGCGTGCGTGGGTGGTAAGGATACGTGGCCCAATCACAGTCTGCGACATCACCGGCGTGAGTCTGACATCAGCGGTGACGTCAGCTCCCAGCACCTTGCCCTGCCGCTTGTCGCGTATTTGATGGAATTTACCGCGTAAATAATAATTATCTCTTCTGACAGGTGCCGCGTAAATGGCCTTCCGCGTAAAAAATATCCGCGTAAACTCAGACTATACAGTATTACACTTTATTTTACTCAAACTGTATTAATCAAACAAATGGTATGATTGTGACTGCATTGAATGGTGTTGGCTCTGAGAAATGGTGAGAGAGGGATACTTTCTCCCTCACCAACCCCAATCATACATACTTTTCCCACTTAATGTAGTTTTTGTGCATTGCCTGGTTATACAAAGTCACACTTGACTGTCTTAGTTAGATTATAAGAGTTCATGAACAATCTTTCCTTTCTTGAGCTAGAGATGAAGTAGTGTTACATAGCAGAAGCAGTCATGGCAAATTCTTAGATCATATAGATATAAAGTTTAAAATTTATAATAGTGTACAAGTACTCTTTTCTCTGACTAAAGCTTATAGCATTGAGTTTACATTCTTATCCTTATTTATATGCTTTCAGGAAGGTGATCGAATAGGTATGATGATTAAAACAGGTGGAGAACTTCACTACTACATCAATGGTCTGGATCAGGGCATTGCTGCAACCACAGTTCCTTCACCTGTATGGTCTGTTGTTGACCTGTACGGCATGACAGTTAAGGTAAACTCAGTTATTATATTCAGAAGACCATACTCGGTAAATTTTCAATAAGAATTAATTAATACTTATGTACCAAGATTTCTTCTTGATGGCTACATTATAAATCTAATTTAGGATATCTACTCAGGGCTCTGCTTTGACCAGGTTTTATACGAGCCTAGTGCCATTTTGGAAGGACTTGTATGTAAATGCTGCCAATTCCCTTAGTAAACCTAAATTGTGGTGAGTGGGGATAATTCAAAGATTAACATACTCTCCCTCAATAATTGCTATCCTCATATGTTGGGGATTAGAAGCTAAGTATTTTTTAAAGCTGCAGCTCTGAGTCATTGTGCTGACAGCCCACTGTATAATATTTACTTCATATTGCAAATGTTATAACATTCTACCTTTAAGGTATGGTAGTGGGTGTGATAGAGGAAGCTGAATCCCTATAGAGGACATTTTGGCATAAGATATTCTCTAGTGCATTGTTTTGTCTGTTTTATTGGTATAAAATGGTTTTCTTGGGCAAAAGAAGGCCTACCGCATGCTTTTAAGAGGAATTCACCAGAGTGGTCTGAGATGGTGCTTCAGGATAAGTGCCATCTTGGAATTGTATAGGGGGAATGACATGTTTTTCTTTTTAGCAATTGATCATATGTACAGTATTACCCTGCTTTACATGGTTTCACTTTCCGCGATTTCTCATTTACGTGGTACCTGACTTTCACTTTCCGCGGTGCATCTACTCATATACGCGTGAAGTATATTTTTTTATTTTTTTTTATTTAGCTCATAAAGTTCATACAAATTACCCGGCCAGAATATAATTTACATTGCTGGAATTCTTACAATATGATGATCATTTTGAATATAAACATCATGGATTTTGCATTAGACATACAAATTTTAGATCTAATGTAATAATTTGGTTTACACAAAGCAAATATTTTATCTTTTGTGTAAAATATATGAAGTTTACATTCAAAATATTCCCTGACCTGCAAGGAATCCAGAAATGTCAATTATATTATCCTAACTTTAGTCTGAGGTATTATTTATTACTAAATGTTAAAATCTAGAGTTTTCACCCAAACATTTCTCAGAGAGGTAGGAGCTAGTGAGCTGGGAAGAGGGGGGGATTTGAGTCCATTATTTGAATGGACATTAACCTGGCGACTGTATTTCTCTTAAATATTAATTGTGTGAGCATACCATCATAAAATTTAGATGTTATTTTTACTACAACATAGGTATTGTGTCGGAAAAAGTGGAGTTTGGGGGTCGCGCCAGTCTCTACTGGAATTAATCCCATATGTTCTGTTGTTCACTTTACTCGGTTTTCACTTTCCGAGGTACCCCGTGGATTCAATTGACCGTGTAAATCGGGGTACTACTGTATACATAATATCCCCATTCGGGCATATCTCTGCACTTTTCTTTATTCCTACTTGAATGTAGTGGAAAGGACTACAGGTGCTCCTCTACTTAAGAAAGTTCAACTTACAAACTTTCAGAGATACAAACATCATCACTGAGGGGAGTTACCTGCCAGAACAGGTGTTTAATGTGGATGAGACTGGATTATTTTGATAGAACAAACTTTACCTAAGAGAAGAGTGAGCCAGGTTTTAAGGCTATATTAAAGGGTATAGCTGTACTAAATATCCATAATCTTTTCATCTTTTACAATATGTTTGGACTTACAAACAATTGGACTTACAAACAAGCCTCAGGAACGTAACTCGTTTGTAAGTAGAGGAGCACCTGTACATTCAATAGCACAGTTTGTCATTCGCCTAGGTTATTACTAATAGATTTGAGATGACGTGGCAACTGTGCAGCAGCAAAGTGGCAACGTCGGAAGAGAGGACAAACATCTCCCCGTTAGTCGGATTCCCCAATCCCCGGAGGGAACTCTCCAGTAGCTAGAATGGAAATTGGGCTGGAAAAACTATCTCCATTCCGTGTCTGCGAATGAGTTCCCGGGGATGAAATTCAGGCGTATTTTCTGGAAAAATTCCAAGTAGCTTCTCAAAACATCTCTCCAATGCACTCCGCTCTGGGACTGGGAATAAATTTTTCGGGTGTACGAAGAGATTGCATGATTTTTTATTTTTTATTATTATTATGGGGAATAGTCCACCCAGGCACGGGTTATTGACCCACAATCAGGGCCTGGTAAAAAAATTTAAAAATATAGGAGAAAAAGAGAATGTTAGCATACATCGTGAAGATGCCAGAAAACCAGCTTTTTGAAGTGAGACATTATATGAGTATGGAAACACAGAAGAAGGCAGAGCATTCCACAGAAATTGTGAGCACCAATGGGCAAGATGAGTGTTACGAGCCAGTGGTACACAGGATGCCAAATCCACCAAACATTGCCCATTAAAGCACTGGTAAATGAGAGAGAGTGAAGAAACATAACAGCAAAGAGAGAGTATTGACTTTAGGAGGTGAGTAATAAGATATTTGGTTCCACCCTGTCTAACAGTTAGACAGAAGAACCACCCCATATATGAGAGCAGTACTCCATGTCAGGATGAATGAATCCCATATAAACCTGAAGCAACTGCTCATTAGTGAAGTAATTATGGCATTTGTACAGCATTCCCAGCTTTTTGGAGGCAGCTTTACAGTGTACCCTCTATAACTTGGCATTGATAACTCGGAATTTCATATGACTTGGCATGGATATGGTCTTGGAATGTATTGTAGTATAACTCGGAAAATGCTGAGATATATAAAATTATCTGGGAAAACCTTGGCATATCAGGCCACCTGCATCACCTACCATGCCTCTGTGTCACCTACCATACCTCTGTGTCACCTACCATTCATCTATGTCACCTACTATGATGCTTTATTCTTTGCCTACAGTGCTCGTAAGTGTTCCTTTATTAAATTTTTAATTACATGTCCACATATATAAATGCCTTAGTTAAGGACGTTCAGGTTATGGGCAAGTCGAAGGGAATGACTGAAACCCGTCTTTTGACGTATTCAATATTTATTGATGTGATCAAAACCTGCAGAGGAGAAGGCGTTCATAATTTTACAAGGTGATCCATCTGATACATAATTAGTTAGTCTCACACAATTTTATCTTAATTACAATTTATTAAACATACTGACATAACACAAAGTTCATAACTCTATTAATCTTAGCTTCGCTTCACTCTGCAGTGTCTTATTATTCCAGGTTTGGCAGAAACGAGTAGGCGTAATTATTCAACAATATTTCAGTACCGAGGGGTATGTCATCGCTTAGGCTGTACTTACAAGTGCGGATCAATGCAGATCAGTATGGTGTTCCAAGAGAAAACAGTATTGCGTAAATTTTCCCAGCACAAATTCTCGGACAGAAGGCTGGTCTTCACAGCATCACTAGAGAGGGCGATCTGTCTCATGGAGGGGCGGGCAGCCACCGCCACCAGTCTAAGACAGTCCACTCAGCAGAACCAGGACTTGTCTGTAAACACTTCTACATCTGGCGAGGTCTCAGGTCGAAAGATTTATTGGCATCACACGCCAGCACTGTAGCTGAAGCCAGCGGCGATAACAGTATATATGGGTCGATAATTTTTTATTGTTGTATTTTTGTAGGAGGAGGGAAGTGCCTAAATAAGATGGAATTTGCGATAACTCAGCAAGGCCAGAGCCCCATATCTGCCAAGTTATCGAGGGTTTACTGTAGCTATTTTGTGGATGTTTGGTTTCCATGACATATTAAGAGGAAATGGTGAGGCCTACCATATCTATTTTAGAATTTTGCAAAATGGTTGCATCCTGAAATGTGATTGGTGGGAGATCTTCTATTTTGGAAAGTGTAATTGGTAAATACTGTGTTTTCTTACTGTTGAATTAACCAAATTTCTACATCTCTTATTCAGAGATGCTGCACAGATCTGCATTGATAGAAGAAATAAAATTGCTCTAGAAACAGATCTAGTTTGTGAGTTAAGGGGAAGGGAAAAATGTGAAGAAGAGTGAAGAGTAGAATCATCAGCGGAAGAATGGATAGAGTAGGTAGTAGTTTGAAGCAAAGCCTTGATAAAAAGAAGGAAGAAAGTAGGTGAAAGAACAGAACCCTGTGAAACACCACTATTGGTAGAGAAAGAGAGAAATTGAACCATGGACAGCAACTGCCATGGATTGGTTCTCAAGTAAGCTAGAGATTAGAGAAAAAAGTGGGGGAGAGAAACCATAAGAGGGAAGTTTAGAGAGCAAAGATTTGTGCCATACCCTGTCAAATGCTTTGGAAATGTCGAGGGCCCTAAGGAAAGTTTCCCCATAATCCCTAAGAGAGGATGACCAAGGATGGGTGTAGTAGGAGAGCAGATCACCAGTAGATCCGATAAAAAAAAAAAAAAAGCGTTCAAGGTGACGGAAAAAATTAGAGTTTATGATAGTTTAAAAAATCTTAAAGAAGGTTGAAGTTAGGGCAGTAGGGCGATAGTTTAAGGGATTGGAATGGTCACCCTTCTTCGGGATGGGCTGAACAGAGGCATGCGGTTTTAACATTTGTGTCCCTAGGAAGCTCACGGATTGCCATGGGGGAAAAAAAAAATGAGTCCCAAAGAACACAACCTTTCTTATTCAACCTCTTGACCAACGAATAATTGCTGTTTTCAAATCATATTAGTCAGTCGCAGTTTTTCCAAGATCCACGAGGCACTGGAAGAAAATGGCCAGGCGGGGGTGAAGGAGATGTGGAAAAATTACACCAGTGTTGACTGCTTAGCAAATGTTAAATTGAGCAAGTGTGTGAACTCCTGTTGGAAGGCCCTATGGCCTGGAGCAGTGAATGATTTCACTGAATTCCCATCAGTGGAGCCCCAGATCACACACATGTCGCAAGTGGGGAGGGATTTGGTGACATGCAACCAGAAGAAATCAGAGAAGAGCTGCTTGAAAACACTGGAGAAGTACAGTGACCCCTCGTTTAACGAACACCTCGGTTAACGTAATTTCGATTAACGAACTGCCTTCCATAAGGATCTTCAATTCGGTTAACGAAAAAAAATTCGGTTAACGAAGTTCTTACGAACCGACCTCAACATGTTTTTGCTTGCACTGACCGGGCAACCAGCTTTAGTATCAGTCTGCCAATACATTAATCGGTTCTAGGGCTTAAATTCCTTACTATTTTAGTAAATATCAAGAAGTTTATACTATTCAATAATTTTAAAAGTTTAATATTCAATTTTTTAGTCATTTTAACAA